TTTTTCAAACCCACACCATTTTCTTAAAATGAGTAAGTTCGTAGCAGGGCAAGTGACCAAAATGTGATTTTTGAAATCATGAATTGCCTCTTTCTGGACGCAATTTTGCGCTTAAACTTCAAGGAAAATTTTGAAAAGATGATGTGGTGACGTTTACAGCACATCTGAGCGTAACAATCAAACATTTAACAAGATATAAGCATAAAGAAGTTTTGGCCGCCATGTTGGAGAGCAAGAGTATGCCCTCCAACACGGCGGCCAATACAAATCATATTACTTTGTAATATGCCATAGAATTTCTCCCTTAAATGCGTTTCCTCTCAAATTTCCGGTGTAAGATAATTTTTATGTGCTCTGTCAATTTTTGGCATCAGCAAGATTCCAACTCATTGCTTAAATGACGCATTGGTCACGTGACCTCTTAGTGCAAGTGGCCTCTTGTAATCCTTTCTGCAGGTTGGGTCACAGAAAACCATCAATATAAGACTCGACAGTTAGATTTTAATAAACACTGGGTTATACTTATTAGCCATGGCCTAATGCTCATTATATCATAATAAATAAAGCAAATAATCACTGTTGTTTTAAGAAAAAAAATAAAGTGTTGAAATTCAGGGACACAATTTGTAAAAGGAAAATAGAACATAGATCAACAGAAAGTTGGATAACTAACCTTGAAGTACTTTGAACTGTGTGAATTTTGCGTTTGAAAATCCCGTTTTAACCAGTTCTTGCGACTACTGAATCAATGCGACTTTCGAGCTTTTAGAAGCAAAGCATCATGGGATACTTGATCTATCCTCCTTTGACCTGACCCAAATTTTCGTGCAATCCCGTAATCTAATAATTTTTGGCATCCTGCCTCCCATGCATACTTTGAAACAAGAATCCCGCTCCGAATTTGCTTTCAAATTTCGAATCCAGAGCTTCAAATAAGGGAAATCCATGAATGAATTGGATAAGATCTTACTGTGTGGGCCCTTTATCCTGTGTGTTTTAAGTTGTGTATATGATAAATGGAAAAGTGTTTTTCTTTTGATTCCAGATGAGAGTGTTATTGATAAAGGACCATTTAACAGAACTGTTGTCGAAGGAGATAACATCACTTTTTCCTGCACCGCAACTGGCAATCCAACTCCGAACATTACATGGACGAAAGTTGGCAGTTCAAGGGTGTTGTATCAAGGAAAGACGTACAGTATTTATAACATACAAAGAGAGACTGCTGGAGATTATGTATGTACAGCTTGGAATGGAGTTNCTTTGAACTGTGTGAATTTTGCGTTTGAAAATCCCGTTTTAACCAGTTCTTGCGACTACTGAATCAATGCGACTTTCGAGCTTTTAGAAGCAAAGCATCATGGGATACTTGATCTATCCTCCTTTGACCTGACCCAAATTTTCGTGCAATCCCGTAATCTAATAATTTTTGGCATCCTGCCTCCCATGCATACTTTGAAACAAGAATCCCGCTCCGAATTTGCTTTCAAATTTCGAATCCAGAGCTTCAAATAAGGGAAATCCATGAATGAATTGGATAAGATCTTACTGTGTGGGCCCTTTATCCTGTGTGTTTTAAGTTGTGTATATGATAAATGGAAAAGTGTTTTTCTTTTGATTCCAGATGAGAGTGTTATTGATAAAGGACCATTTAACAGAACTGTTGTCGAAGGAGATAACATCACTTTTTCCTGCACCGCAACTGGCAATCCAACTCCGAACATTACATGGACGAAAGTTGGCAGTTCAAGGGTGTTGTATCAAGGAAAGACGTACAGTATTTATAACATACAAAGAGAGACTGCTGGAGATTATGTATGTACAGCTTGGAATGGAGTTGGAAAAAAATCTCATGCTTCTGCCACAGTCATTGTACACTGTAAGTGGCTTCCTTCAATTCTTGTTAATTTGCAGTTTACGTAAATTGAATTCAATTCCGACAGGACTTATAATGATGGCTGTTTTGGAGATGATATATTCCTTACTAGACTTACAACGCCGTTATTATGAAGTAATATGATTCTTAAATTGATTTTATTTTATTTAATTGATACATCTTTTTAGTGGAGTGGGTAAACGAAATTTCAGTAAAATCGTCCATTGATTGAATAAGAAATTCGTACTTTAGACAAACTGTTGGCGTAGTTATATCCATAATCACTTGCGGCACACGAGTTCCAAACCAAGAAAATTTGAAACATACATCACCAAGTGCTAGTGGTGGTGAAAAAAACGAGTTACCGAGGAAGTGGAAATGAAGAATGAAAACCAAACAGCTGCTGTCACACCAGTACTAACCTGAGATCAGGCTCTATTTTCGTTTTGCTTTGTAAAATACATTCCAGTGGGCAAGGCTAAACGAAAAGAGAACCTGGTACAAACCTTCTACGAAACGTCAGCCAACCAAAATTACTTCCGTTACTTGTTATTTTAGTATGCAAATTTTTCATACTTGGGAAAAATGTAGACTCGCTGACTTGAAAAATAGCTTTTATCTTTTAGTTTTTTCAACTAAAAAATAAACGGTCAGCACAATCACATTTAAATTCGTGCGAGATTAATGGAGATCTTGAAGGTTATATCTGTTGGCGTAGAAGGTAAAAAGTTTTCCAAAAGACGGCGACACGATGTCGTAGTTTTAATATTTTGGCTAGGCTCACTCTAATTTAAAATAGCGAAATATCTATTTGTCTGTTGCCTTAATTATTTTCCTCGACAATTTCCCCAATTTTCAGTACATAAATCTTTAAAATCTTGGAGAAATATATTGTGGAATTTTTCAAAAGATATATAAATTATCTCAGGACAAACCAAACGAGTTCTCAAATGCATAACTGATTTGGTCCCGTGCGTACACTTGCAATTTACGAATTTACTAACGAAACTTATTTGCCACTGTGGAAAAACGAAACGACACTTCTAAAACTGCATGCTCAACTGACCTATAAACAAAACCAAAAACAATATTACAAACACACTTTGTAGTTCTCCTTAGTTGTGTTGTTGTTTTACTTCAGGTCTAAAAACTTGGCTCGCTAAATTTATAAATCGAAGTTCACAAATAGCCAACGAGCGAGGACACCAGTTTTCCTGGTTTATTTTTTACAAAAAGCGAAGGCAAACAACAAGTCTGTTACCTTAACACTAGCACCACCAGATTTTATAATAATGCCTACAAAAATTCCTTGAACAGCGTTGCAATGTTTTTCGTCTAATACTTCACAGTTGGTGACTGAGGTTTCTTTCACAATGAGCCTCCGTCTGCGTATACCGTTCAGAGAAGTCATTCCCGGCTAAACTTTCAAATGAAATCACTTTTAAGATGGACAGTATTTTGATTTGCACTCGTTTGTTGGTAAATCAAAAGGCACCATGTTAGCAGTCAACAACTTGCAGAGGGATAGATTTCTCAATTTTCTGATGGATTCCATCTTAAACTGTGTTGAAACAATAGCAGATGTGTTTTCATAGACCAGTGATAGTAGAGGTTTTTGAAAGCCTTGTGGCTGTAAAAGTTCCTTATCTTTGCTTGCTGAACCTTTTACTTAATTATAGCACTGTCACTGCTTACAGAACAGTTTTTAAGCCAACCATAAACCTGCAGTTGTAGATGAAATTATTGCAAAGAAGCGTTTCCTCAGCCCAATCAAAAGAATACCCAGGATCATGATACTGAAAACAAATGACAAATCTATGTATTTCTGCAGTTATTATCGGCATTAACAACTGCATTGCTAAATGGAGGTTGGGTGCCTGGAGTATCCAGTGGCTTCCACTATTAGCAGCCAGCCGCTAGATTGAATGCCCCCATGACTGGCATTACAGCAACACCCAGCCATGACAGGCACCTGTCACACTGAAAACATCAGTGGAGAAAACCAACAAAGCCTAGGAGGAGGGGGAAGGGGAAGAAAATGGCTGACAGAACCTAGCAAGAAGGAAAACTGACTGTGCCAATGAGTCATATGATCGATCTAGCCAGCTACTGGGCATGTGCATGCCAAAGACCGCTGACCTCAGGCACTTAAGGCGCTCTTAGTTGTTAACTCCTTTAAATTGCATTTAAATGCATTTAACAACTGCATCGCTAAAATGGAGGTTGGGTGCCTTGAGTATCCAGGGGCTTCCACTATTGGCAGCCAGCCCCTAGATTGAAGTAATGCCCCCATGACTGGCACAACAGCGCAACCCAGCCATGAGCCCCCACACCAAGCTGAAGGGACCTCCGAGCCATGGCACTAAGGTTTGGAGAAGGGGCTCGTGGCTTGGAGACGCCCAAGCCCATAACGGCCAAAGCCGAAGTCACCTGAACGTATGTGTATGCTACCACCCTTGATAAGGTACCTGTTACTGAAGCAGCCTCCCAGAAACTTCCAAAATTGATTCCACAGGGGTTCTAACGTAGAGTTAATATGCATCACTGGTCCACCCGCCCATGGTCTTGATAAGGTGATCTGGAATGCCTCATTGCACAGCTGCCGTAACAGCCCCAATGCGAAAACTGCCAGGGATTCCCGCCCCCTGTAACACAGACTGGATGAAGGAAGACAGATGAGAACAAGTTAAAGGCCGACCATGGGTGTCGATGAACAGGGGACCAGATGAGGGCCCTTAAAGATGTAAATATGCCAGGATGGCCGAAATTGGACAGAGCGCGCCCCAGGTATATGAAACATCCCTGGGGAAACAGATCATTTTTAGAACTTTTGATGCACATGCAAAGGCTGGAAGGATTAATCTCAACATCTACTTGTAAGTCCTGAACGGTTAAATGGATGGATGGGTCAAAGGTGGAGTTGACCATAAACTCCCCAGCCCTTAGGAATCCAAAGAAACCTAGGCCTTAGACAGCTCACAGCATGACGTGCTCCGAGTTGTGGGTATCCAAGGAACGCTGGATAATCCACATGGTCGGGTGTCACTGGCTGGCATTGTGTGAGAGTTGAGCCTTGGTGGCGCTTAATGCCCCGGAGAGGACACTGAAGTTGGAGGCAGTTCACCAAGGGATAGGGGAAACCCTGATCGATGTGCAAGGACCGTATTGCCGAGAGATAAACCTTAATTGAGCAGTGATGAAAATGATCTGCTAGGTGGGAACAAAAACGCAGCAAGGTTTGTTCATTAAAGAACCATTTGAACTGACATAGCCATCTAAAGTACAGAAATTGATGAACTGACGCTGCGCTGAACGATACACCTGTTGGGTTGAAGGAGCCAGACCATTGGAGAGATAAAATTAGCACTTTTGGTCTAAACTACAGGCAGCTGGGCCAAGACCAAAGGAGGTACTGGTGTTGCTGTGGGAGATGCGTAAGGAGCTAGCTGATGGAACCGCTGAAATTCAAAACGAGGAATGGTATCAACTATGGCATTTGATTTTCCAGAAACGTGACGAGCAGTAAATGCAAAGGAGTGCCGGACCGCCAACAGGGAGAGGTGACGTAGCAGCACCTTCAAGTTCGAATCTCGTGATGTACTGGACCACAACACCTCAACCACTGCTGTATTGTCAGAACAGAATTTCACCCGCTTTGCAGACCACTGGTGACCCTACAGGGAAGCTGCCGAAACAATCAGAAAGAGTTCTTTGTAGGCAATGGATAAGGGCATCTGTAATGGAGACTATCTTCCTGCGAACCAGGGAGCCCCGTATCCAACAGAGCTAGCAGCGTCAGCGGAGACATGAAGATCTGGGATGGGAGCGCAGCGAGGAGACTGGAAGAATTCGAGCCACCACGACAAATCCAAATGAAAATTATCTATTAAGCCTTATAGGATGGTTCTCTCTGCAAAAAGCTGAGAGCAGATTGATCATACGGTGGAGGAAGGTGCAACCAGAAGGGACGACTTTGCATGCATGTTGAAGATTGCCAATTGAAGACTCCAGCTCCTTCTGTGTGCAATGGCGTTTTTGTGACCAGAAGACCAGGATTGTGTGGATACGATCAAATTTTTCTTGCGGGAGGCGCGCCTGCAATGGGAGAGAATCAAGTTCTATGCCTAAAAACAGTCAGGATAGTGGAAGGGCTCTCCAACTTGCCGGGGTGAAGGGGAATCCCCCAATCCTGGAATTGCTGGATACTGGTGTCTATGTTCCGTTGGCACGTCTGAGAATTAAAAGGATCCAGGGTGTGGAAATCGTCCAGATTATGAAGGAGAAACCTCACGTCATATGTTTTTTGAGAACCCATTCCACCAGGTCCGCAACTGAAGAAAAAACATAAGGCGCTGAAGGCAAACCAAAAGGTAAGGTGATGTCCACAAAGTAATTTCCTTACCACTGCATGCCAAGAAGATAAAGATCATTAGGGTGTACGGGAATAACGGGTAGGCACTTTCCACATCAAACTTCGCAAGCAAAGTGCCCCGACCGAGTGACATAATCCTGTCAATAGTGTCATTCACTTTCATATATTGAACCGTGACAGGGTCTTTTCTAATACCATCATTTACGCTGTGACCATCAGCACTAGAAAGATTCAGAATCAAGCGCCATTTGCCTGGCTGGTGTCTTTTGGGGATGACTCCAAAACGGCTGATGTGAAGGCGAGGTAACAGAGGGGAAGAGAAGGGACCAGCAATGTGACCCTTAGCTAACTCCCTGTGAAGGTAGTCATCAATAACCGAGGGCTAAAGACTAGCAAAAGACATATTCTGTGCGGCCGATTTGAAGGAGACAGAAGCAGTGTTGAAACCAACATGAAACCCATTCTGAAGACCATCCAAGACATAGGTTACAAAAGATTGATCTACGTAATTATTCCACTCTTATAGGAGAAACTTTGTAGGGAGGAAGCAGCGGCTGATGCAACAAAAGAACCAATGCAGACAAGCAGGAATCATTGAAGAACAAATTCAGTCCAGTCTTCTGCTGGGAATCAACACCAGTAAACGCAAACATGGAGCAAGGAACAGGCAAAGAACTACTAACGGTATTTACATAAGAGGGGCCTGCCACCTGCAAGGCAACCTTGTTAACACCAACCGCGTTTTCCCCCGGACGGAGTGAGGGACCAGGAGCGCTGAGACCCCTTGTAGGCTCAAAAGGGACAGTTGGCAAGGGGGTGTTCACCATCGCATCTTTTGCGGACATGACGATACCGACATTTACCCAGAGACCAGTGACAGGCGCCATCATTCCAGGATCGACAATACTGAATGGGGTCGAAGGAACGCTTGGATTTGATGTTCGATGAGGCTGAGGTATGGGCCAGCAAAGTCAGGCGAGGAGCTGATTGACCAGTAATGGTGCTGGATGCACGTGTGTGGAAGTTGTATAAATTCAGGTTCATCTGAGACCAGTCGGTTAGAAAATAGGCTGCAGCGTCCTTCCTGAATGCCAGGTCATAATTCAACCAAGCTGGTCTAGGAAACTGACAAGCCATCTGGAGGATCGGTAACTTATACTGAGTAGTATCCTGCAAGCGAGAAGGGTAAGTACGGCAGAAGATCCACTGGTAAATGGTAAAGGCCTGAATCCATGTTAGAATGTCGGTGATCTCTACCACCCTTTTTTTGGCAGGGGCAATGAGTAGTTTACCATCCAAATAGGTATGAGGCTTGGCAAGCTCAACGAAGGCGCCACTGGTGATTTTGGCCAGCAGTTTTCCCAGGATTGGCGCATAACCGGGGCCAACTACAAATGCTTTCCCGACTGAAGGCACCAAGGTCGGGCTGCTGGTCGACAGTACAAAGGATGGTGCCTACAAAGCCGGGACCGGTGGCTGAGAAGCACGAAGAAGCACAGGAATACCAACAGACGAATAAGTAGAAAGAAATGACGGTACAGTCACGCTTCCTGCTAAAGAAGATGAGCGACAACCAGTCGAGGTCGATGTTTGAGTAGACGGCACATTTATCGTGGAAGAGGCCGTGCTGGAATTGCCAGACCTGCTGCTGGAAGAATTTGGCGCTCTGTTCTCCTGAAAAGCCGCCAACATCTGAGGGAGCGACTGCTGAAAAGCTTGGGAAATGGCCTGTGACAGAGTCTCTGCTGAGATGGCGACCGAAGAGGGCGATGAAGTAAAGGAGGACGAAGAATTGGAAGCTAATGTAGTCAAGGGGGTAGATTCACCACTAGATGTAGACGAAGCGGTACCGTGTGGGTCACTGTTGAAGCGTGGGAAATTTGGAATGTAGAACCATATGGGAGCGAATTTAGAACTTGAAAGATAGCTGTGTTGTCAAGGAAAAAAGGATGCACATGATCTTAACTTTTTTCCCTTTCCATTGAGTTGCTGGATAAATAAAATCTGTCTCATTAGTTCATGTAAGTAACTGCTTTGACTGTCTATAAAATAAATGTAAACCCAAATAATTGGTCTTCAACATTTCTATCATGGGGGAAAATCGAAAAGGAGTGGCTGAGTCCATGTTGGGATGGCATGCAGTGTCCCCATTATTATTTATCAATTTGGGGAGCAAGGGATGGCGCAGTGGTGAGAGTGCTCGCCTCCCACCAATATGGCCCGGGTTCAAATCTTGGTGTCAATGCCATATGTGGGTTGAGTTTGTTGATGGTTCTCTCCCTTGCTCTGAGAGGTTTTTCTCCGGGTACTCTGGTTTTCCTCTCTCTTCAAAAACCAACATTTCCAAATTCCAATTCGACCAAGAATCAGGTAGATGAAGAACCACTTTGTGGATGTGCTACCTCCAAATCATTATTATTATTATTATTATTATTGAAACTAACGAACTGATTCGATATTTCTGACCATTCTTGCTGAAGGGTAATAATATTTTTCTTATTTCATTTTAAATTCTGTCCTGCATCGTTAGCCCATTAAAGATGAACTGGTTTATAATCAATTGAAACATATTGTTTTTTTTTCGTAATCAGTCTTTTTGTGTCTGTTGGTTCGAGTTACATAATCTCGGGGTATATACTCTTTTTCAGATGGCAGCACGATTGATCAAAAGATATCGAGTGTGGTTGTTATTGAAGGAAACAACGTCACTATTAAATGCAACGCAACTGGAAACCCACCACCCAACATCACTTGGATAAAGGATATCAGTCCATTGGTGTTTTACCAAGGAGAGAGTTACGCTATTGTTAATATTGATAGAAACTCAGCTGGTGATTACACATGCACAGCATGGAATGGAGTCGGTGAAAAAGCGAATGCAACTGCTGCAGTTACAGTGCACTGTAAGTTATTCTTTCCTTACAATGCTTGACTCTTAAGATTCAATGCATATTGGTGTAGTTAGACTTGCTTAGACATGAAAAATGTTTTGCGCACCATGTTCCCACAATTGCAATACTACGCTTATGTGCCTTGTCAATTTGAGGTTAAGAATAAAATGCCAGTTCTAAACTCAATAACAGTATAATGTGTTGGGAAAGGCTGTCAATTCTTGGTTTGTGCGCGTTGGTCCAGTTGTGTAGTACCGAAAAAAGGATTAACCTGCAAATAAGTAAGGGAATGTTCAATGGAAAATAATGAATGAAAGTGCGGTGTTTTGGCTTGAGTTTTTCTCCATGCAGCTTATCGGAATTTTTTTTCCCTTATTTGTTTGATTGACAGTTATTTCTCTGAAATTCTTGATAGACTGGTATCGTTTTAACTAAAGTAAATATCTTAATTGAAATTATAAACTTGGCCACAGAAGAAATGTTTGAGAGGATCTTGTTATTGAGAAGTGTACATGCGCGAAGTAAATAAGGAAAAATCAGCGCATCTCGTCGACCAGACTGCCTTGTGTCTGAAATTTTGCTTTGTATTTTTAAAATTTTGCTGGTAAATGTCTTGAAGCAATGTTTCTAAATTCGACAGATGAAAGTGCTATTGATCTGGCACTATCAAACATTACGGTTGTTGAAGGAGATAATGTCACTCTGCACTGTAATGCCACTGGTATCCCAACGCCAAACATTACTTGGACCAAGGATAGCAATCTGACCGTGATACATCAAGGAGAAACCTATAACGTTGCTGATATAGAGAGAAAGGCTGCTGGCGATTACACATGCAGAGCTTGGAATGGAGTTGGTAAACAGGCCAATGCCACAGCTTCTGTCACTGTACATTGTGAGTTCACCAGTACCCATGATTTATGATATGTCTAGTTCATAGTGTAGATGCTAAACTGCTAAGGTCTTTGTAAAAATTCAGTCTCTAAGGAGACTTGCAATGTCAGAAGATCAGCGCGCTACAAAATGCTATTCTATGACGGTATTTAACTTGTTTGACATAACAGTCTCAGGGCAAAAAGGGCTTGTTTTATGTAGTGAAAGTGTTAAACAAATAGACAAATTATGTCCAGTTGGTCTTGACTAGATTAAAAAAGATGGAAGAAGAATGTTGTCATTACTAACATATCCAGGTTAAAGGACCATTTACACGCAAATTGCTAAAGCGCTCGTGCTTTAAACAAAAAGCTGCTACAAGCTAACTATATTTTTCTGAAAAGTATAATAGCTCAAAATGGTACCATTTTCGTTTCGTTTGATTGAAAGGAATAATAAGATTATGTAAAAGTCACACTTTTTTCTTTTTTAAACGAATCGAAGCTTGTTTACGTGGCTTGTTTACGTTCGCATGCATTGCCTGCCTGTTGCAACTTTCATGCAAAACAAGCTATCTCGATTACTCTATTTGGGCCACGCCTAAATAATAAAAGAGTGTAATATCTGACTATTAACCTTCCAGGTAATGAGTGATCTGTGGGGGCTATAACAAGCTGGGTGTAAATGGTTCTAAACCCTGGCTATCACCTTAACTAAACTTGGAAAGATGAGTGATTGTCTTTGAGAAACATGGTGCTCGCAAGGTTCGCTCTTCCTTTATTTCTTCCCGCATGGAAATAGAAATTGTTTTGTTCACTTGATTAAAGAGGTTCCCGAGGAATAGTTGTTACAGAAGTTGTAAACATAACCTTGAAGATAATATTTTTGTTAATAGACAAGAGTGTTCTCGACATGTCACTGTCAAATGTAACGGCTGTTGAAGGAGACAACGTCACTCTACGTTGTAATGCAACTGGTAATCCAGCACCAAACATCACTTGGAACAAAAAGGGCAATCCAGTAGTATTGTATCAAGGAGAGACCCACAGTATTGCCAACATTCGGAGAACGGCTGCTGGAGATTACTCGTGTACAGCTTGGAATGGAGTTGGTGACAAAGTCAGCGCTTCAGCTTCTGTCACCGTACTTTGTGAGTAGCATGTTTCAAAAGTCACTCGTTCGTGGTTAATGTTAGACAGATTCTAGCCCTTATTTGTCCTTTTGCCATGATATCTCTGTGGATACGTAGAGGCACTTTTGGTGTCCAAACTAAAATGGTGTGAATGATTTTTACTTAAAATTCTCGTCAGACCCCATTTTCCGTCATGATCTGATCAGGTAGTACTTTTTGCAAACTGAAAAGATTATCCATTCTTTTGAATGTTAAGGAACATTTCTCCCAGACGGTAAAGCAACTGTGAGTATTTTCACAGTGTCATTTAGAACATCACTGTTGACAAGTCATGGTGTACTGTATATTACATTAGCATTTGCAAATGTGGTTGATAAAAAACACATGACCCACCCCCTCCCTTCGGCACAAAAATGACTGACCCACCCCTAAAGCAAGGTTCGAAATTGCAGGACCCACCCCCTAGTTAAAACATGGATGTTTTGTTTCCTCTTAATAATCCAATAAAACCTTGTTCCGTGCTTGACAAAATTTGTTGATACACTGCTACAACCAATATCGAAATCACAGAAATCATACCTTTCACTGAAAAGACAAATGTGAAAAACCGAACATTTCTTGTTTCGATGGACGTTATGAGTCTTGACACAAATATACAGCAAAACAAGAGTACACCTCATGTCACCCTCCAAATGTTAATATCTCCTCAGAAACAACTTTGAGGAAAATAATTCAAATTAAAAAAAAAAAACGCTTGATGAACGGAGGCTACCCACAATCTTTGATAGAAAACCTACTATCAGAAATAAAATTCACAAAAGGGAGTCTAAACTCCTAAAGGAGGAAAAGGAAATATTGCCATTCGTGACACAATACCAGCGCTCAGTGTCTACTATAAAGGAAGCTTGAATGGAAAAATGGAATCTAGTACAAAACCAACTATAACTTCAATAAATTTTTAAAGAACCACCAATCATTTCCTTACAAAAAAGGAAAATCATCAAAGGACATGCTCGTTAGAGCCAAAAAAAAAAAGGTTAACAGAGGGTTCCATGCCCGTATAGATGTGCGACCTGTCACCCTTTGTATTTTATCGCACAACAGGTTTGTGAGTATTTTAGCAATAATTCCAGCTGGCTGTGTTTTATTTAACAAGTGTAGTCAACTGTCTCGTTAGTAGTTAGTGCCTATTTATGTAATAAAATAGGGTGACCCACCCCCTAAGGGTAGCTGAAAATTGCACGACCCACCCCTGGCACAAGGCTCAAAACCTCATGACCCACCCCCTCTCTGCTCCGGCCCACCCCCACCTATACTTTTTGACCAGTCCCTTATGCACTAGCATTAGATTACTCACTTGAGAAGTTCGACATCTTTAGAAAGTCCTTATGCTTAAGCTGTGTGACTAAGCCGTAATTAGTGCTCTGCTCAGTTTTAACATTTAATCGTGATATGATTTCTTTTTTTTTTCTCTACGGACAGATCCCCCTGGCATAAGTGGTTCACCACCCAATACTGTTATCCAGGAAGGGAAAAATGTCACACTTTACTGTAAGGTCACAGGGCACCCAACTCCTAAGATTACGTGGACCAAAGATGGCAGTTTAGAAGTGTTGATTGAGGCAGAAACTTTTGTTATCCTCAACGTGACTCGTCAACAGGCTGGTTACTACGTTTGCACAGCCAGAAATGGAATAGGAACTAGTGCAAATACCACTCTGACACTTACTGTACACTGTAGGTTACATTCAGGCTTCATTTACAGTAGATAAAACGAAATTGCTCTTACACAGAAACATTATTGTACTACGTAGTCCTAACATTATCAGGTCCACCAAGCAGACAGGCGTCTTTGGGTTCAGCCTGGAGCGGTTAAATATTGATGTGCTCAGGGGTGAAATTTCAATACCTTAATCATGCGAGCAGCAAAGCCTTGAATATATATTGTTTTCACTTTCTCAGCCATCATCTTTATTCCAAACTGTGGTAACTGATCCCTAGTAAATGTGTGCTGTTCTATTGACAAGTTGCCAAAAACAGGAAGAGACCAACATAACCGTATGATGGAAGTGTATTTGTCAGTTTATGGTATAAATGGCCTCGATGATATGACTCATACTCTTCTCATTGAACCTGGTAGCTTTTGAAATTGCAATTTATTTCAAAGTATAGTCCTCCAGGATGTTCGAATAGTTATTTGAATTTGAGCGAATTAAATTCACCCCATTTTCTCTAAATACAATCGCTTGAAGAACCATAGAAGGATTTGAATTACAAGTCTGTTAAATCAAGTTTTATTTTTTAGACCCATCTTCAATTGGTACTAGACCGATAAACCAAACTGTCATGGAAGGACAGAATGTAACTCTGCACTGTAATGCTACTGGTAATCCAGCACCAAACATCACTTGGACTAAAGATGGTAATGCAGTGGTTTTGTACCAAGGAGAGACGTATACAATTGATGACATACAAAGAGAGGCTGCTGGAGATTACACATGTACAGCCTGGAANTGACTCATACTCTTCTCATTGAACCTGGTAGCTTTTGAAATTGCAATTTATTTCAAAGTATAGTCCTCCAGGATGTTCGAATAGTTATTTGAATTTGAGCGAATTAAATTCACCCCATTTTCTCTAAATACAATCGCTTGAAGAACCATAGAAGGATTTGAATTACAAGTCTGTTAAATCAAGTTTTATTTTTTAGACCCATCTTCAATTGGTACTAGACCGATAAACCAAACTGTCATGGAAGGACAGAATGTAACTCTGCACTGTAATGCTACTGGTAATCCAGCACCAAACATCACTTGGACTAAAGATGGTAATGCAGTGGTTTTGTACCAAGGAGAGACGTATACAATTGATGACATACAAAGAGAGGCTGCTGGAGATTACACATGTACAGCCTGGAATGGAGTTGATAAACAAACAAATGCTACAACTTCTATCACTGTGTACTGTAAGTTGTGAGGATATTTCATTGCCTATAACAGCATTGATATGATGTATATATACGAGGATAACATTACTGTCTCGGTCATACCCACCCTTCAGGGATAACTGGCGATTCTTGAAGGTATTTGACAAGAAAAATTTATACCAGTGCAAGATTGTCTCACTTTAGTACTGTGTTCTTTAATGCCTTTAAGATGCAAATTTTTAAACACAATACAAGCGCATACCAAGGACACTAAACAAATGTGATACATGTCTTAAAGCAGTGTTTGAATTTTTGGCATCACCAGCATTATCTCATAGCTGGAGGCGGCTGAGTCCTTGTCTTGAATGCATAGTTGAATCTTTCAAAGCAACGTCAACTGTTCATATGCCATTTGAACAGCTGTCAACTTGTGTCTTTTGTCTTCTCCAGATCCTGCTGTGATCCACCAAGCTCCAAGCAACCAAACTGTTCTTGAATATAGCAACATCACCCTTGTCTGCAATGCAACAAGTAACCCACCCTCTAACATCGTATGGACTCAAAACGAAAATAGTACCATTCTCTATCAGGGAAACGCTTTTATTATTAGGAATGTTACAAGAAATTTTAATGCGAAACGATTTAAGTGCACCACAGAGAACAATGTCACTGAAGATGCTTATTCATATGCAGTGGTTACTGTGTTATGTGAGTATAGTATCCAATGATGATAGCACCAGTACAAGTTAGTATACAGATAAAACTAGTTTGTGAATTTTGAATAAAATTCACTCAGAGACTGGCAGTCATGAACGTCCCAATTTTTTTGCAGGGTATAATATACCTTAGTCCACCAGCTTGGTCCAGAATTTGTTGGGGCACAAAGTTGAAATATTGAAGCTTGATTAGAGGCTGACGAACATGAGGGGTTATTTTTGTAGGCAATCCCTCGCCCGTTCCAAGGCTAAAATCTAAAGTATAAGGATAGTTAGAGTACGGACCCAGGGCCCTCAAACAACTGTAAGACCGTCACTATTTTGAACACTGGCCCACTTCCTTCAGCCATGGAATAGTTTCTTTTACGTTACTCAGTAACCTTCTACCAACCTTCTGCCAACTAATCTCCTTGTTTTTCAGATCCACCCGAAGTTTCTGTCATGTCACCAAACCGAGTTCTGGAAGGCAATAATGTGTCACTTATATGCAATGTCAGTGGCAACCCACATCCTAATGTTGCGTGGGTTAGAGCAAGCGATAACTCTGTGTTAATAAACGATAGTAAAGCACTATTGAAAAATATCAACAGAACGCAGTCTGGAGTCTTTTATTGTCTAGCGTGGAATGGAATTGGGGCAAATGCATCATCGAATATTAGTATTGATGTATTGTGTGAGTATGTTTTTAATAAAGAAGACCTCAGTCACTTTAGTGTTGATTCCTTCAGAGGTCAATTGAGAAATCCAAACACAATTTGATTATTCCATTTCACTCAAGTCATTTACAACTGGGAAAGGTAGCTTGAGGTCAAGTGATTCTCATGTATAAGAGAATGGAAAATACTTGACCTTTAAATTCATATTTAAAAAGGCTGTGGAACAACTGAGAGGGCAATTCCCCCTGCCTTGTTTAGTATATACTAGTTACTAATGTGTGCACCACAAATGTCAAATTTCCTTGGTGTTTCTTGGTTGCGGAGGTTGGGTATTGTGATTTGAGGCAGGTATTGGGTATCTATTCAAGCTTTTATACTTTGTAATTTAGTCACACAGGCAACTGCCATTTTTTATCAAACATAAAGTTATGGGCACACAATCAGACACATCAGATGAGTAGTTTTCGATCATTTTCAGTTGTGAGAAACATATATCTCTGAACAATTTATCATGTACTTCATGCGTTGTCATTTAGCTAGTTGTTAGCATGTTTCTTCTCACCCTAAAGTTTTCTATGCATTGCTTTTCGTCGTTGGAGGATGGCAAATACCGCAATTTATGCCAGTAATCTCATTATTGTGAAGCTGCTTCTACCGATTTAAGCATATGTTGTAAACTTAAAGAGGCTTTCTGTATCTTTAGTCATGAAACAATCTGCGTGCCATGCAAAGATGCAGTGTGTTCCTTAACACACGGTTAGGATGCTATACAGCAGCTTTTGTTTTAAGATTAGCTGACTGGGGCGTCATCCAGCATTATTTTCCTAATTAACAAGCGATATCTGTTGCAAAAATGTCTTATCGTTCTAGCTTATCTGGCTACTGTTCACTTCACCTGTGATCACGGAAAAACAAATAAAAGTAGAGGTCCCTACAAGTCTTCTGCGTAATTTTTGCACCAAATTTGCTCTTCACTTCGTTTCTCTCGTTATGCCAGTTTTCCAGAAGAATAATTCTAAACTACATTTTTGTCCTTGTGAAAGGTTTATTCAGGGCCAATTAAGGCCAACGCATTCTGAACATTTATATTACCGCGTCCCCTATCTTCGGCCTCGTCTCAGGTTATGTTTTACACTTCACTCTAACACATTTGTGAAAACAGTTTCATTGGTATTCTTTTCATTTCACCAGATCCTCCAGAGATAGTTACTCCTCCTGTAGATCAAGTTGTTTGGGTTGGACAACAAGTAAATCTTTCCTGTGACGCTGTTGGTAACCCTACGCCCAAGATCTTCTACACAGTAATTGGAGATAATGGCATAGTTGGTTTTGAGAAGACGCTTGTCATTAACAGCTCCAGTACACCTTACATGAAGACTTTCACCTGTAATGCTAATAATACGATAGGACTAGTGGCGGCAGCTAATGCAACTATAACAGTTTTAGGCAAGTGTAATGTGACATTTTGAACAAATGTTGTTTGAAGATTTGCTAAACAAATTGCTGCCTAAATGAGGCAATTAGAAGCCACTAAAATAAGCAAACGTTCACGTGGTGTTAGTGTTGGAATGGGTAAGTCTCTCTTTTTCTACCTTCTTTCATGGTATTTTCCAAACAAGTTTTAGCCGATGTGGGCAAATTTGTAGGCTGAGATCACAACAAACGTTTACTAGAAGACAGGGTTGCAATAGTCTCGTTTTTGCTTTGGCATATGGTGAACCAATTCTTTTTTGTTAATTAAGGGAGCTTCAAAATGTTTGTGGGATTTTTTTTTTGTAAATTATAGGTAATCAGCAATTTTGCTAGTAGACTTTTAAGCAGAAAACGAGTCTGTCAAACAAAAGGAGAGCGGAAGAAAATTCTCAGACGATTCTTTGAAATACAGGGGAAAGTTTTTAAAAACACTTAAAATGCAAGTGGTTCCAGAGGTAGGAAACAGCGATACTTAAGGCTTACGTAAACTCAAAGATCTGTTAAGTAACGTTGATTCTAAATAAATGTGGCTGTTAAGGAAAAACCAGTTAAAAGTAGGTTATGCCACTTACTAATTTGTTCTTCTTTGCAGTTCCCCCCAAAACAGACGTTGTAGACGGACAGATACATTTATCATCCAGATTACGAGAACCACAGCAGTACAATGTTCACAGAGCTAAGCTCTAGGTTTTGTGAGAATGTAAGTCCATGTCTACTACAACCCTTGCATCATCTAATTCTTGGTGCTCTGATGGGGTCTTTTCAGTAAATAGGTAATGATATATTAGAGAAATTTAAGTCACTTCTACGGGAAAAAGCAAATGTGAGATTCAAGTCGACAGGTTCTCGATTTACGAAATGAGCAAATATAACAGTCCAAGTTGATTTTTATAGATGAAACACGCTTGGAGCGACTTACATTGTATAGAATTAATATACAGTAATCAACAACTAAAGAGGTAACTTGGTCACGTGGTATGTATTGGCGTTTGCCGTAAACGTGATTTCTAATCTCTAACGTAAGGACTGTATATCTGTTCATCAGCCGAATACAGATGAAATTATCAACCTTCACAGTGTTGCTAAACAAAAATTATTCCTCGAGCCCGAATGAGATCTGAGTCCATAACCCACGAGGCCGAAGGCCGAAAGGGCTATTGACTCAGAAGCCACGAGGACGAGAGAAATAATTGTTTTAGTAAAATCCAACTAGCTGGTCAAAAACATCGAGACAAAACAACTTTAACTAGCAAGACGCAATTCAACCGCCATTGTTTGGGTTATCAAAGCCGGCGCTTTTCGCTACAAGTGGGCTATAACATATAGCCTAGTAGTAGCTCAACCAATCAGAACGCAGCTTTGATCATAGACCACTATTTGGATTTTACTGATGTAAGTTATCCCACATAGCCAATAGAACAATAAAACCGTAACCAGGTAAAAAGCAATGGATATCCGTACCTGTAGTCATAGTAGTGGTATAATAGGAACTGGTTAGAACCCCTTTTTTGCGGAGGAATACATCAACACCGAAGACGTCGTAAATGAGATTGCACCGCATATTATTCCTAGGATAAAGAAGGCTTTGACGTCATCGGCGTTAATGTATCCCCAGCGAGTTGTAACATTCTAGCCTGTGTACAGCCGGCCCCTCCACCAACAAAAAAAGGTTCTGGGTATGTAAACGGATAGCTGTGTTACAGTCGACTTTTCTGCTGAGGATACCTTCGTTATTTTTACCTTTTTAGGTGACTGTCTTGTTTCAAGGCGAACCACAGTTTGGTCACTGTAAAGTCAATGACATCATGTAAGGATGAAGTTCAGATATTTAAGGAAATAATAAAGATTTGTTAAAAGGGTACCACACCGTATCGTGTCTTCATAGCAAAGCTAACTTCAACAGTTTAACACGATGTAAACCTACCAATAATAAATTCCTCCAATGAATCTCATTAAATCTTCTCCTTTTGATTAAACAGTAAGAATCACTTAAACAGTGAAACGCTATGAAAATGACCTTAAGCCTTTTTATGACATCTTCTTTAACAATCCCGTAAAATTGGTTTAGTGCTTTTGGTAAATGTTGTGTCTTACACAGAAAAGAGCGGAAATACAAAGATCAACAAAATATGTAGAAAAAAGTCTTTCGTCTCTAGAGAAACTATTTCTTTTACAAGAAAACTTGTTTCACTAAATTAAAAAATGACACAGCTGTCGTGTTTATGAAAAGCTTTAACATTGTTGTTGTTGTTGTTGTTTTCTGCTTTTTCATGCAAATTGCTATTATAATACACGATGCTTCATTATTTTCGCCTACAGAAATGGAAGTGTTGTGGTAAACTTTACTTTGGTCTTCATCAGGGGAAATAAATCGGTAGACAACCTGCTACAGGTCTTAAAAGAGTCTGTCGACAACGGCAGTGTTCTAGTAATTCCAGTTGAGAGAGAGACACTTCACCTCATTTTATCATGTGAGTTAACACTTTGTATCTTACCAATCTCGTTGCTGAAATGGGTTGTTGGTCCTCAACAGGCCCTGTACGAAACACCATCGTCGTAGAACATTTCATATATGCGTATTTTTTGATCCTAGACGTTACAGCCCTGATAAACTGCACAATTGGCCACCATATGTTTAATGGTATTCGTGGAGTTGAAACATGTTTTTACCAGCCAGATAACCAGATATTGCTATTGGCATATCACCATTTGCTTAATCTACTAAGCGACAAGGAGGTGCCCTCGTAGTCTGCAGACGCCTAGAAGCCAATACTACTGGTCATGCCACGTTGTCTACTTGGGGCAGTCATGTTGCATGTGTCTGGAGATATCAAACGAGAACAGACCACCTGCTTTCGCGAGCTTAGCCTTACTGAATACTATGTTGTTTAAATGCAGGCAATAGTAAACAAATGTGTATAAATGTAAAACTAGCACAGGGGACGGGGGCTTCACTACTGTCACGGTCAGTGTGTTGGTCAACCCTAATTGCCGCCTGCCCTTTAACTTACGGATTATCGTTTGTAATTAAGAGGGTGGCCACTGTGTGAAATCATGATTAAACTCGTGACCATAGTCTATTTATAAAAAATTACCCAAGCTGTGACTAGGTTTGAATCTACTAGCAGCTACTACTGGCAATGGCATTAGGTAACTGTACTTTTTTTTTTTGTCCTTTAGCTACCACAGCTCCCCCAACCACAGTTCAAGTTCTGCCACCATCAGTTGCTGCGCGGAAAAAGTCCATGTCTCCATGGATAATTGCTGTGCTTGCTGCCATTGCTGGACTCGTTTTCTTGGTGTTTATTTGTGCTATCATACACTGTTGTGTATTGAGAAAGAGAAAAGTCAAGAAGCGAGGTATATAAAAAAGATCTGTTTGGAGGCATTCTTATTGGTCTGAAAGGCCCAATAGTAGTGTCTCCAAAATCAAAAAATGTATGCGCTACAAGATGTTGGGGGAATGGAAACCTTCCGCCTCTATGATGTATTTGTGATAGCCTTCGATAGTCAGAGTCAATTTCGTAAACAACTCTTCATTTCTTTCGTTGTTGTTGTTACTTCATTTGAATGGAAAGCAGTATTTTCAGCTTATTCTGAGTAGGTTCTAGCATGACAAATTGTACGCGCACACTTGGTTTAACAGATCTCAAAGTGAAGTTTTTGGCTCTTTTTTGGTTTATCTTTATCACTAGAAATGATCATTGTGATAAACAGCCATCCCAGATGGGATGAAGGCAGTAGCGATAGTTGCTTTTCACTCTTTCCACCTCGCTAAACCACTGGCTTTGTTTCTTGTTTAATGACTTACTAACCTTGCTATAATTCAACATTTGAATAGGTTTAAATACCTTATTGCTATGTATTATAGCAAATACTTTCCTATCGGCATGAGACCATAGCGACATCCCAGAGAGATTTTTCCTTTTCAAGATGGAGGCGAGGAGAAACACTTTTGTAATTCTCCCCAAATTTTTGAGGATTGCGGAATGTTTTTTCCCATGACCTGGTAATAAAGCGTAAAGACAGTGGAAATAGCCTTTGAAAGACAATAACCATCTTTATTTTTTTCGTGGATTATTTGAGAAACCTGTCGACCATATTTGCGAGTAAAGGAAGGCCCTGGAGAGAAGTTAGAGAATTTGTTTAAATTGCATGCCAACCATGAGTCTTACTCATTTGTTGACATGCCATTTGTCCTTGTTTACCTATTGCAGGCATATGTCAACGTTACGAGGAATCAACGTAAGTAGTGGTCGGCTTCTTTATTTTGTTTTATTTCTTCGAGGTATGCCCTCCTTATTACTGTGACCAAAACTTTGCATTCAGTGCTTCTTAGAAAAAAAAGTTATCATTTTGTTAGGGATCCATGGTTCTGGCTCCCCTTCAACTAACGTGTTCTTACAACCCCTAACCCCCTTTTACGGGGAAGATCAAACGAATATCTTAAGGTGTTGATTTACTTCCTTTTGACAGTGGTAAATGGATCGATCTGCCTCAAGTCGGTGATGGGAAAGGATCTGACGAGGTTTACGGGTATACAGGACCTGGAGCTTATATTCAGGAGGGACCCACTGTAAGGGTACCAGCTAGCCAGGTACATTTTTTTTCTGACTTCTTGGCAGAAGAAAATTAAATTTGGGAAACCTTGAAATATTTTCTTTTCACATGGGACAAGAAATGGTTTGGACAAAATTCTGTTAGGACAGAGAAAAAGTCAGCTTTTTTACTGCGAATCAGGGAAAATGGGAATTTTGAATACCAAAAAATGAATAGATTAAATATACTTAGGTCAGAGCAGTAATTTAGGGTACTGTTATCCAAGGAATATATGCAAACAATACAAGATGTTAGATATTAAACAACTACTTGTCCAAAAAGTGTTTCGTTGAAATTCTACCAAACAATGGCAAATGCGTTGGGAAGCTTCTTTATATTTAGTTAGGAGATTTTGAGAATGGTCTCTGCGCTAGCCTTGTTTATGGAATATGTTAGTCAGGATAAATCCATCGTCCTAAAGTAACTTCAGTCTAAATGTTAATATTTTTCAGGAAAATGGCTATCACAGTGGTATTTACGAAAGAACTCCTGATGAGCCAAAGCCATCTGTCGTTGAATTCAGGGATAAAGCTAATGGTAATGTCTTGATTAATGTTTCTGCCTGACAATTCTGCAATTCTGTATTCTTAAGCACCTGCTTCAGTGCCCTAAATTCCCTGTAATCCATTCTCTTAAATAACTTAAAGCTGGCTCCACACAAGTTATTTTTTTGTCTTCAGCTCACCAAAGGATCGCTTCGTGTAGATACCTTTCTAGTGCACTAGATACATTTTACACGGCGTTTTGTCTCATACTTGTTACCTCTGGGGTACGTTTGTCATGTGATATACACTTCCCCATGTTACCATCTCCTTTTCTTTTTTGTTAAGCCTGTCAAACCTGTATTAGATATAGGCAGCCGGCCTGTTGGTCATTTTTTCAAGGGCTACTGCTTAATGCAGGTCTGACGGTATTTTATCTTTATCGTCCTACCTTCTGGGGTCAGGACTCGAACCCCTTATCTTGTTACTGGCAAAGTGCCTTTGGAGGCTTTAATCTGTTTATGCTTTACCGATCCAACTCAATTTTGGTATCTCTTTTTAAGGTGCGTCCACAGAGTTTTAGTGAGAGTCTGCGGTAAGGTGATGGTGGAAAGTGATCCATGGGTGGTTATGTGTAAGACACATACTCCTCGCAGCAGTTTAACGTTATCAGAGTGGAAACTACGTAGCATTCTGGTTATATTATTTTGTCAGTGGAAAGATTTGCCAGAATCAGAAACGAGGAAATCTCGTGGTGGAGCACTCTATTCTTTGGACTGCAGTGTCTAATATACCATACACATTTTGATGTTATTCTGCTTATTGTGTGAGCAGCAATTAAATTTTTTTTTTATTTTGCACCTTTGACTGACTTTTTTGTGAATCGAATCCGTTCATACTTCCAAATTAAATTGGTTACCTTGTCCTTTTCCAGACATCACTAACACCGAGATTGGCGAGGTTTACCGTTACAGTAAAAAAAAAAACCGCGACTAAGAACCTGCATTTTGACAAGTTAGCCTAAACAGGTTCTTACATAAATGGTAATTAGCACAGATTTAGGCTATTTGGTTTCTTAAATAGGTTCTTGTTTTCTGAAGTAAAAAAATCACGGTACGTATGAGTATTTAGTGGAATTTAGCTTATTCCTTATATGAAATCTACGTACGAAATTAGTATTTATGTAAAAATGACTTCTAGAAGAAAGACTGAAGCACTGACCACATGAGTTTTAAAGTTCCTTTGTCCAAGTTTACAGAATTTTATTCATAAATTTTAGAAAATAACAACCTGTTTGAAATTTTAGGCTAAACAGGTTATTGTATAGAGGAAGCCTAACAGGGCCTTAGAAACGAGGTTCTTAGTCACGGGTTTTTACTGTACTATCACCTAAAATACGAAGAAAGAAACAATGCTTACGCAAAATGTTGGGGGCGGGGGGCAAATAGGGTGCCTTATGGGAGATGTGCAAGTGGCGAACACAATAATTGCTAATTAATTATCCATGGTGCTTTTCTTAGCATCACGAGCTTGACACTCGACTTACTTTTGGAATAGTCCGTCTTAAAGTGTCACCCATCTTGGGCAAAATTTACTGAGAGGAAAGGAGTCTAGTAAAAGATCGTTGCAGAAAATGTGGGAAAAGATGGTCTAGGGTTGGTAGCCACATCCCTCCGTTCCTCATTGGGACGCAAAACGTTTTCAGAACCACTTATTAGCTGACGAAGCAATGGATGAACGAGTCAATTTCTTAGTCCTAAAGACAACAGAAGGTCCCTTTTGAAGATCAATAAAAGCAGGGGTTCATGAGAGCTTCGAGGCTCCAGTCCTCATAGTTGGCCTAATTAAGGTTTAAGCCTCTTAGTGCGTTTAGTTATACCCATATATACGAGACACATTTGATATTTTTTGTAGTTGTCTTTTTAAACAAGGCAGCGTAAGAACCATGCGACAGCTTGAATCACATCATAAGGGGGACAAAGGTAGTAAAAATCAGTGTAACAGACAAGACCCGCTACAGGATTTCCATGAGTACGTGTCTACTTACACTCCAGTTACCGTGTTAGAGACTATTGTCTACTCAGATGTATTCGACTTAAAAGCGCACAAACATAGGTTATTTCAAAAGCTGATATTGGTACTTATCTTCGTTGGTCTTCAATTTCGCGTTTTTCGCGATTGTATTTAAAAAGAGAGAAATTGAAGGCCCGCGAATAAAAATTCTTGCAAATGCATTTAATACCCATAAAGAAAAGCCAAATCACAAAAAGATTATTTTCAGAAACTAAAACTGCCGCGAACTAGTCGTTTGCTTAAAAGCTGACATTTCAATATGCATTTTGCTTGTGCTAGTTTTTAAAAAGCTTAAAAGTTCAGACTTTTTGAAAAATAAAATGAAGGTGAGAAGCTTGAGTCGCGAAATTTAATGCCCTTTTTCAAAATTTGCCTATTGAAAACGCGAATTAATAAAACCCCACGAAATACTGGTAATAGCTGATCACTAATTATTTACATCGACTCACAAACAATGAAAAAGAACTAGCGATCAAACTCATTCCGAGTGTTTGCGATGGAAATCTTTCCTCTTTCCAACAAAAGTTGTCCAGCGTAGCAAACTTGACCACAAATTATCGATCCCGTCTGCTATCAAACGATCTTGCGATCAAGGGGGCAGTCTGGATAAAAGCATTGTTTTTTATTTCCGCCCTTTTTCTTAATATCTAGCCAAGATTTCATTCAATCAGATAGTGACTCAGTTAAGTTGGAGTCCTTGGTTCAATTTTTTTTTTGAGAATTTTTGGATGATTTTTCGAATGTTTTTAATGTATAAAAATTAGGGGGAGTGTTTTTTTAAAATTTAGGAAAAACTGGAAAATACCGGATTTGGGGGTTGTCAAAAATTAAAATATGAAGTGAATAAAAACCAGATAGTCCACCACCACAACAAGGTGCCTCTGATGCCATAACGGACTAACTGGTTTATGTGTATACCTTTTCTACCCTAATTTATTTCCTTTCCAAATCAACATCATTTCCCCAAAATAAGACATTGAAATGCCCCTAAAACGCATTGTTTCTTTCGCTTGGCGCACTTTGCGAATGTACGAAATCTCTATCAATTCCTTGCACAAAGTCAAGTCAATCGTTAAACTTTATTCACGTTATCACTTCATCATTAAAAATGCTCTTCGAGTGAGCCGTTTACATAACAAGTTGCAAGAGAAAACTACACTAAAGCTAAGAAAATGTAATTATATAGCTCAGTGACAGATATTTGCGCCTTACAT